AAATCAGGAAGGGGGCCAACACTTTTTCACACCACTGTATATACACGTAAATATTAAATGAATAATAAATTAATAAACATGACATTGGCAATATAAAAAAATGTAAATTGTAAACATTAAATCTAAATGTTATAAGTAAATATTAAATTAAATGCAAAATTAAATGTAAGTATTATAAGTAATTATAATAAGCAATTATGAGAAATAAAGTCTCAGTTAAGAGTAATATAAATTCCAAAATTACGAAAAAGTCAACATTTTGAGAAATAAAATTGCAGTTGGGAAATATAAAGCCGATTATCGGTGCCGATATTAAGCATTTTTATGGTTATCGGGATTGGTCATTTTCAAAACCGATTTGCCGATAAAGTAATTGAAATGCATTTAAAGAATTTTTTGTCAGATTTTTTTTTGTCAAGCCCTTGTTATTCTTAATTTTGACATTAGTTTTCATTTTTACACCAGACATATATATCGGCCTAAAATATTGGTTATCGGTCTACTTGATCTGTAATAATCGGCATCGGCCCTGAAAACGACATATCGGTCGACCCCTAATAAAGATGTCAACATTGAGACCAAATGATAATAAATTAAATTAAATTTCACATAGAAATATGAAATAAAACATAAATGAATAAAAATGTAATATAAATGGCTAAATTGTGGGAAAATAAAGTTCAAATTATGAAAAAGTCAAAATTGACACTTAATAATAATAATAATAATAAATAATTTTAAACTGCACTTTTACAAATTAAATAAATAATAGATTAACAAACCATGGCAAATAATAAATATTAAATCACAATAACTAAATTTTAAATAATTAAATATTAATATTATATAATATTATAAATAGGTAAATATAAAATGTATATAAATAGAGTAATGCAAATTAAATTAAAAAACAATTTGATCAAAATGATCAAAAACAGAAATAAAAAAGCTAAAAGTATGAGTAAAATTATAAAAAATAAAAAAAATCACAATTGGGAAATATAAAAATGCAATTATGAGAAACAGAAAAAGTCAGATTATGAAAAAATAATAATTATAAGTAATAATAATAATTAAACGAATAATAAAACATGAAATTATCAAGCCAAATAAAACTATTTATTAAATGTTAAAATTACTAGAACTTTTTAATAAACCTAAAAATTATATTCAAAAAAAAAAAGTCCAAATAGAAATTGTGAAATTTAAAGATGCAGTTTGCAGTGAAAATTAGGAGAAATAAAAAAAAATCTAAATAATGAGAATAAAAAGTCCAAATAGAAATTGTGAAATTTAAAGATGCAGTTTGCAGTGAAAATTAGGAGAAATAAAAAAAAATCTAAATAATGAGAATCTGAGACATAAAGTCAGTGTACAAAAGCAAAATGAAACTGCGTAAACTGATGTGTATAAATGACAACAGAGTTCAACTCTTTCTTCAGACTGAAGATGCATTGCGAGTGAGTTGTGTTTGTTTAAACACTCTTGCAGGTCTCAGCTGAATGGTTTGACTGAGGATCTGGCATCGCAGCCGAGGGACGGTGATATTGATCGCAGTCTGGACGACCTGCAGGCACTTCTGTCGTCTCTGCGTCTGGAATATTTCACCAAGAGAGACGCTTTCACTAACACCGCCGGATCCAACAACGCCAGTGCGTGTGCAGCGCCCATCTTTATTAGCGTCAGATTCCTCAGTATGACCTCTAATGAAAAACCCCTCATTTTCAGGCACCTTCTACGCCATCCAGAAGTCGTACGAAAAGTCGACGGACGCCGTCAAACGAGCCGACACTGCTAAAGATACGCTGAAGAAGTCAGAGGGCCTGCGTGAAAACGCCTTGAGTGACCTGAGAGACGTGCAGCCCGGAAACACTAGAGACCTGGAGAAACTCAAGAAGGATCTGGCAACCCGGCCGAATCTGACGCTCACCGCAAACAAGGTGAGAGAGATTGCACGTGATTGGCTGTGCAGAAGTGTTGGTTTTCCAGCAGATGGGGTCAGTAACGTTGTTTTCGTTAGGTGTGCGGCGGTGATCGCGTGGATTCCTGCACTCCGGAGCGCTGCGCTGGCGATCTGTGTCCTCCTGACGGAGCGCCCCCTTGTGGAGCGGAGGAGCCTTGCGCCGGAGCGCTGCCCAACGCCAACAAAGCCTTCCAGGACGCTGACGAGGTGAAGGCCAAACTACAGGATCTCAACAACAAGATCACGCAAGCAGCTGCACAGGTACCACAACACATTCCCAATAATTGCATTAAAAATAAGAAAATTATAATATTATAAAGAAGCAAAATGTATTAAATTAAAAGTCAAAATTACGAGAAATAAAAAAAGTTATGGAAAATATGAAAAAGTCAAAATATAGACTTAATAATTATAACTAAAATTAAATTGCACATATAAATATTAAACAAATAATAATGAATCAAATGTGACATAAATAAATAGAAAACATATTTTTTTAAAAAGCCAGAATTATGAGAAATAAAATTGCAATTTGGAAATATAAAGAAATTATGAGAAATAAACATTCAAAATAAAGCCTTTTTTTTTAAGTCATGATTATAAAAAAATATCGAAACTGAAATATAAAAATAATAGCAAATAAGTAATAAAAGTAAATTCATAAAAAAATCTAAAAGCCAAAATTATGAAAAAGTTAAAAAATAAATAAGTGAAATCAATAAAATTACTATTACATAACATCATTGAATATTAAATTATTATAACAATACATAAATGAATATTAAATTAAGTTAATAAATATTAAATTATGAACATTACATATAAATACTATAAATATACAAAGAAAATATTATATTAATGAAAATACATTTTAAAAAGACAAAATTATGGAAAAGTCATAAACCAAATAATCATAAATGATAAAAAAAAAATACATGCAAAAAATGGCACATATAAATATGAAATGAATAATAAATAAGCAAAACATTAAATTAATAAATATTAAATTGGCAATAACTAAATATTGCATTTGAAACATTACATATAAATATAATAATATTCTAAATATAATTTAGAATATTATAATCTTTAAATATTAAAATAGGGCAAAATTATGAAAAGGACACAATTACGGAAAATAAAATTGAAATAGTGAAATATAAAGATGGTACGACCACACACAACTAGCTAGTAAGACTAATTAGACTAGTCAATTTAAATTTTACAATGACTTTAAACCAAACACACCTTCTGAAACACAGATACAGGAAGCTGAAGATTCGGCCAATAGGGTGAGACTGTCCACAGATGAGCTGGCCAATCAGATCAAGCAGGTGCAAGCTGACATGGATGAAGACCTGAAGGACACCAAAGACTTCATAAACAATCTCAGAGACTTCCTGTCAGGTGGGTTTTTCCTTTACTTTGCCATACTGCACACTGCCAAGTATATACTATGAATGTTTTAGTCTCTGTGAAGTGGTTCGGCAGTCGTTCACACTGGAGTCGGCTGTTGTTTTGTGTCTCAGAGCCTCATTCAGACCCGGATGAGGTGCAGCGGGTGTGCGAGGCCGTTCTGGATGCTCAGGTTCCTCTGAGCGTGGAGAAGCTGAAGCAGAAGCTGAAGGAGCTGCAGGATCTGGCGTCTTCACTGCCAGACAGCAGCAGAGTCCTGGAGAACAGCAGAGAGCAGCTGGAGAACGCCAGACAGCTGCTGGAGGAGGCTAACAACACACGGTACACCGCACACGCTAACGACATACTAACAGCACACGGTACACAACACACGCTAACGACACACTAACAACACATGCTTACAACACACGGTACAAAGCACATGTTAACAACACACGGTACACAGCACACGCTAACCACATACTAACAGCACACGGTACACAACACACGCTAACAACACACGGTACAAAACAAAGCTAACAACACACGGTACACAACACACGCTAACAACACGGTACACAACACACGCTAACAACACATGCTAACGACACGCTAACAACACATGCTAACGACACATGCTAACAACACGGGGTACACAGCACATGCTAACAACAAATTCTAACAGCACACGGTACACAACACGCTGACAGCACACAGGACACGCTAACAACACAAGCTAACAACACGCTAACAACACACAGTACACAAACACAGGCTAACAACACACGGTACACAACACATGCTAACAACACGGTATATGTACAACACAAGCTAAAAACACAAGGTACACAATATGATAACAACATACTAACAACACATGCTAAGGACATGCTAACAACACACGTTACATAACACACGGTACACAACACACAATAACGGCACATGCTAACAACACACGGTACAGAAATACAAGCTAACAACACAGTACACAACACACGCTAACGACACACACTAATGACACGTGCTAACAATAAATGCTAACAATAAATGCTAACAACACACGCTAACGAAACATGCTAACAACACGGTACACAACACATGCTAACAACACATGGTATACATCACACGATAACATGCTAACAACACATGGTACACATTACATGCCAACAACACTCGCTAACGACACATGCTATCAACACACGTTACATAAGACACGCTAACAACACATGGTACACAACACATGCTAACGACACATGATAACAACACACAGTGCACAACACACGGTACACAACACACACGTTAACAGCTCATTTTAATATTTTGTCTGGTGTTCATTCAGTATTTATCTAACGTTCCCGATCGTTGTGGTCTGCAGTGACGCTGCGTTCGGTATCCAGCAGGACGCGGAGAGCATCCTGAAGACGATGGACGACAACGAGGATATTTTTGATGAGCTGGAAGACAAGATCCGTCAGAGCGTCGACATCGCAAACAATGTCAAGAACGACGTCAAACAGGTCAGTCTGAGATCTGAGCGAAAAACCACAGAAACAACGTCCAGATTCACGCTAACGTGACCGATGGCCTGTGTGTCTCAGATAGAGGACGCGCTGCTGCCCGCCGAGCAGGGGATTGTGGGAGTCACAGGGCTGCTGGATGAGATGCGCCCCCTGCTGGACGACCTGAGGAAAGACGTGACGACGGGAACGACGCATGCGAACGAAGCTCAGGATCAGGCCGATTCAGCGCAGGGCGAAGCCGAACAAGCGGCAGAGGTGCGGAAACAAACACCTCACAGACGCACATACTGTACATAACTTACAGTACAGAAACATACATTGTTAGCGCTACTCTGGCGAGTTTATTTTAAAAGCTACATGATATTCTCACAAGCGAGGTAACAACGGCGCTGTTTGTGAAGAAAATTAACACACTGTGGTGTTTCATTACTGAATGAATCAACAGTTTTGAACGTATTGAGTGAGTGAATGATTCAATGACTCGTTCATAAAGACAGTCACTTGCTTCATTTTCTGAAAGAATCAGCCGTTTGAATTAATCAGTTTCATATTTACAGTATAATTTAATTTTAATATTCATTTTTTAAATACATAAATTAATTGAATATAAAATTACTGCACATAAATGAATAAATTATATATTAACTATTTTATATATTTGTAAGCTTTTTATAACATGAACGTTAATAAATTGTAACTCGTTAAAATATAATTTATTGATTTGTAATTTCGTAATTTATAAATGCGTACAAATTAGAAATAATAATAATATTTATAATATTTAGTTATATTTGTTTATTTTTAAATGAATCAAGTGAGTGAGTTAATGATTCAGTGACTCGTTCGTAAAGAAACGTACTTGCTTCGTTTCCAGATGAATCAGCCGTTTAAACAAATTGGTTAAATGAATGATTCAATGACTCACTCATGAAGACTTGCTGCCAAATCCGACACTTAGTTTCAGATTTAGAGTATCATGCCATTTTTTAAAAATAATTTAGCATCATGATTTATGCAATTCTAAAGCTTTTTTTACTTATTTCATTGCTTTTATATAAAAACAATAATGAATTTAAGTGATCTTTTGTGGGTAATTTCTCAGGCAAATGTGACGTGCAATTAATTTGTGATTAATTCATCAGCATCTCATGTAATTAGTTAGATTAAAATTTTGAATCACCTGTGTTTCAGGAGCTGGAAGCACTGAAGAAGGAGTTTGAGCGATTGAAGCGTGCGGCGGCTGAGAGCACTGAGGCGGGTGAAGACTCCACCCACTTACAGGTGCTGCAGAAGGAGGCGGATCATGCCATTTTTTAAAAATAATTTTGCATCATGATTTATGCAATTCTAAAGCTTTTTTTACTTATTTCATTGCTTTTATATAAAAACAATAATTAATTTAAGTGATCTTTTGTGGGTAATTTCTCAGGCAAATGTGACGTGCAATTAATTTGTGATTAATTAATCAGCATCTCATGTAATTAGTTAGATTAAAATTTTGAATCACCTGTGTTTCAGGAGCTGGAAGCACTGAAGAAGGAGTTTGAGCGATTGAAGCGTGCGGCGGCTGAGAGCACTGAGGCGGGTGAAGACTCCACCCACTTACAGGTGCTGCAGAAGGAGGCGGAGTCTCTGATGACGGACACCAGTGACATCATGCAGGCTCTGAAAGGTACCGCCCACTACACACCCATCCCATAATGCTCAGCACACACATCCCCATGCTAACCGGCGCTGTTGCGGTTGTGTTCTCAGATAAGGAGGCGTCGGTTCGTCAGGGATCGGCGGAGCTGCAGCAGAACGCGGCGCGACTGACCGGTCTGGACGATCAGGTGAAGAAACTCCGAGACGACATCCGCTATAAAGTCACCAGCCTGAGCATATGCCAGGGCTGAGGAGCACAACACACATAAAGCAACTAATAAAGTGTCTGCATGAAGATTCTTGTGTGTGCGTTAATATTTACAGTGGAATACTAGCATACTGCACAGTGTGCACTGTAGACTGCTTACTAAAGGAAGTATGCTTTTTCAAAAAAAGCTCATTCAAAATATTATTAAATACTATAAAAGTCACTCTATCCATGCAGAGAAAATTTAGTTTTTATTTGGTATTATTGACATTTATTTTTACAATGAAATGAATTTTTACCTCAATACATTAAACTTTTTTAATGCAATGGCTAAGTAAAAAAATCTCTATAATTTTAGTTTCTAAAGCATTTTTAAATACATATGTAGATAAATCTAGAAAATACAAATATTTTCTAGTCATTAAAAGCAATACATTGCAATATAGTTTAAAACAGCAACATAAATTAGCTTTTTTCATTAAATCATTCAGTGAACATTTTTGAGTGGCGATGCAAATGAATCACTGAATCAGAGTTATGAATTGACTCACTGAATCAGTCGTGAAACAACTTGTTGAGTCAAATAGTGGATGGAGTGAGTCAAATCACTGAATCAAGTGAACCGATTTGTTGAACTGATTTGCTGACTCGATTGAATCGATTCACTGAACCAGTAAGATCACTAACAGCTAAATAAAAAATAAAAGCACATAGGAAAATGATTCAACTTCACCTAAAATTAAAATCAAATTGGGTATATATTTTATATACTTATTACATTTCATATTTTAATCTACGTTTGTGTAAATATCACCAGAGTACTGCACTTTTATACAAATTTAGTAGGTATTTCGTGCACAAAAATTTCTGCATAGTGGAGATGATATCATACGAGTAGAATACAAACATAGCCAACTTTTGAAGGTAAAATTCCATTAATATGACATTAAAACACAGATGAATTCTCCAGGATGTTATGTTGGTGTGTAAATCATTTTATGTTTTTTTAATACAGACATACAGCAGCGTGTTTATGGATTACAGTAATAAGCCCCTAAATATCAGATACAATCATCTTATATGCATTTATAAAACATGAATATAGAGAATACAACGGCGTGTTTAAAATCAGAAAATAAGATTTAAACACAGTTCTTAGCTTAAAAACACTCAAACCTGCAGCCGTGTACAGTAAAACAGTGGCACATGTGATCCGCCCTTCCCATGATGCACCGCCATCGGCCCAAACACGACTATCGTACACGAATATACAGACGATAATAATACAATAAACCTGCCTCATCCTGAATTCCTGAAAGAAATGACATTCTCGAACTCCTCGAAATTACACTTTCACTAGTGAGAGATGAAGATTTGAGACGCAGACGTGTGTGCGATTGGCACTCGGCTTGCGACGGATCCCGAAAAGTCCGTGAAAAACACACACTTGATCATCCTACGAGCGCAGGATCTGAGAGAGACACAGAAGAAGAGACGTCACACACCTGTACTGTCACGAGACGCTCAAAGCAGCGGGCCCAAGCCCTACTCACTTCATTTGACTGACAGCTGTCAATCATCCCATCACATCACAGAGCAAACCCCGGTCTGCAGGGACTGGCCCCGCCCATCTGTGCAACATGTCACTCTGTCCGATCTGAAACACACACACACACACACACACACACACAAAAAAACATTTTATTTGAAAATACTGACATATTTACAATGAAATGAACTTTTAACTTCAACCAAATATTTAATAGTAATTTACCAGTAAAATTTTACTTGTAAAAGCATTTGTAAATTAATATTTATATAATATAAATCTATACATGAAATATCAATATTTTCCATTAATTATAAGCAATAAATTGCAATATAGTTGAAAACTGGAATTTGTATTAATAGTTTTTGTTGCATTAAATCATCAACAGTAAAAAACGCCACAAGGAGACTTCAGTGAACATTTTTGAGTGATGATGCAAACTAATCATTGAATCAAGAGTTATGAATCGACTCACTGAATCAGTCTTGAATCGACTCGCTGAGTCAAGTGAGTCGAATAGTAGAGCAAGTGAGTCGATTCATTGAATAAATAGAACCGATTCGCTGGCTCTATTGAATCGATTCACCAAATCCATAGGATCTGTTCACTGAATCAATTCATTCGATTTGTTGAATCAATTAAATCAGTCACTGAATCAAATGTATGAAATGATTCTTTGGTATCAGTTATGAATCGATTAATCAAGAGTTATGAATTGATTCACTAAAATGGACAGCTGAATGAATCAACTCAAACATCGTTTTCACATCTGAAGTTTAAATTTAAAAGCAATTTGAAATAAAATTGAATAAAACATCTTACTGTGAATTCCGAACATGAAATAATTGCAATTGCTACCGGTCCATTGAAGTGCCCCGAAAATGTTGGACGGACTCAATTACAAATATACGTAATCAAAAACGGAAATGTATTGATAGTCTGGTTTGCACCTGTTGGTGGCGCAGGGCAGGTCGGACTCGGAGCAATACGCGTGTTGCCCCGTCTCACAGATGACCAGCGCGTGCATCGGCTCGCTGTTGCAGGCCTTGAGCGGGCCCCGCCCCCTGCTGACATCAGCGTGAGGCAACAGGGTCATGTGACTGCACGAGGGGTTCCCATTGGTGTCCAGCTCGTCGGGGGGCGGGCCGGGAGACGAGATGTCCAGCACCTGGATGAGCGGGGCCGGGGCCGGAGGGTCAGCGTGGGCCAGCTGGAGCCGCCGCATGTGACTGACCACCACCGTCGCGTTAATGACCCGCTGAAACACACGCATCGTCATACAGACATCCATAATCACTAATAATGAACCGAATATATGATCTGCTCTCTCGCTCACCTTCCATTTAGATTTGGCAAAGTTCTTCTGCATCTGCTCACAGACCGAATGAACGATGTTGTCATTGTGTGCCGTGTCTCCACTGATCCTGAACAGACATTTATTCATCAAATCGACTTATTTATCAACATGCAAGTTTATTTCTGTTTCTTATATGATTACTCATCTTTCAAAATTAACATATATTAATAAATCAGCATATTTACTTTAGAATCTGCATGTTTTTATGCATCAGATGATGCGGAAAGTCTGTTAATTCATCATACCATGTTTTTTCATGAATTAGTGTTTATGCATGAATTAAGATGCTTATTTTAAAATGACTTTTTATTCACAAATCTGTATACTTATAATAAATAAACACCGATTTATGAACAAAACATGTTTGATTAATAATCCTACTTATTCATTAATAAACAAATGTATAAATAATAAACATGCTTCTTTTAAAATGTATGCTTATTCATAAACCAATATATTTATTCATGTATCAGCATGTTTATTTGTTTATTAATGAAAAAGTATGATTTTTCACCATACTTTTTTTTTCATGAAATGGTGTTTGTTTATTCATGAATCAACATGCTTATTTAAAAATGTATATTTATTCATAAATCAGTATATTACTATTATATATTATTATATTATATCGTATATTATTATTATTATATAATATGCATGTTTTATGCATTAGTTTATTCATGCAAGTATGTTTAATCACCATGCCTTGTTTTTTCATGAATCAATGTTTATTCATAAATCACCATGGTTATATTAAAATTAATTTTCATTTATAAATCCGTATACTTATTTATGAATCTACATGCAACTTATACATTTATTTAGTCATTAATAAGTATGATTACTTATCTAACGTATGCTTCTTGTGAGTATTTACTTATTATGTAAACATTCTTATTTCAAAATTTTTGCTTATTCATAAACATGTATACTTAATTTTGAATCTGCATGTTTTATGCATTATTTTGCTAATGCACAAGTATGTTTATTCATAATGAAATTATATTTAATAAATATATGAATCAACATATTTATTTAAAAATGAGAATGTTTATTTATGAATCGACACGTTTGATTATAAATACATTTTCTTTTTATATTCATGCTAATACGGTAATTGATTTGTATGTTTATTAATAAATCAATTCAATTGTTTTACCATTATTTGAACATTAAGTTAGTCTTGAATCAGTTTGTTTTTTTCTTCCATAGTCCAATACTTTTATTCATGAATAAATTTCTTCATTCATGTTTATTCATGACAATGTAAAACAGCACTGAGATTCTCTTTGTTTCTCACCATGGATGACTGAGCGCCTGTTCGGTGGTGAAGCGCTTGTTAGGGTTTTTCTCCAGCATGTGCCTGATGAAGTCCTTTGCTGCAGAAATCAAAAGAAAACAAAAGTCTCAATTATTCACAGGGTAAAAACAAAGTAATCTGAATCAGTCATAAATAGACTTGCTGAGTCAAGTGAGTCGAATAGTGGATCAAGTGAGTCGATTCACAGAATCAATAGGATCTGTTCACTAAATCAATTCATTTGAGTTGCTGTGATAATTATATATTTGTGATATGAGTGTTTATATTAGCGGTCTGTGATGTCTGTAGTTTGAAGTGTTGGTGATATTGGTCTGTGGTTTTTATGTTCATGTTTTTGTTATGTTTATGGTCTGTGAAAATGATCTGTGATGATTATGTTTGTGATCTGACTCTTTATTTTGGTGGTCTGTAGTGTTTATATTGGGGTCTGTGATATATGCTGAATCAATTAAATCAATCACTGAATCAAATCTATGTAATGATAATCAGAGTTATGAACTGATTCACTAAAATGGACAGCTGAATGAATTGAACTGATCTGAACTGACAAAAGAAAATAGAGTTTAATCACAATTATTCACATGGGAAAAAAAGATCTATGCCTGAATAATCTCTATAGAAGTTGATGTTGTAATACAGCTGATGGCCTCCAGGTGGCAGTAATCTGAATCAGTCATAAATCGACTTGCTGAGTCAAGTGAGTCGAATAGTGGATCAAGTGAGTCGATTCACCGAATCAATAGGATCTGATCGATTTGCTGAATCAATTAAATCAATCACTGAATCAAATCTATGTAATGATTCTTTGGTATCAGTTATGAATTGATTCACTAAAATGGACAGCTGAATGAATTGGAACTGATCTGAACTGAAAAGAAAATAATCACAATTATTCACATGGGAAAAAAAAGATCTATGCCTGAATAATCTCTATAGAGGTTGATGTTGTAGTACAGCTGATGGCCTCCTAACATCTCTTCATGTTTATGAGGCTTCTGCGTCTGTAAAGTGTCTGAGACAAACCTGACTCAGAGATTTCGTCCCAGTACGGCGAGTGGAAGGCGTATTCTGCCTTCATGATTTTGGAGAACAGGCGCGTTTCGTTCTCCTCATAAAACGGCGGGTAGCCGCTCAACCTAAACAAACACATAAGAGATTGAAGGAAAAACACAACTGAATGTCTCTCAGAAGAGTCTACATGAGCCCAGACTCACAAGATGTAGGTTATGACGCCGATAGACCAGCAGTCCACAGCTTTACTGTACGGTTTCTGACCCAGAACCTCCGGAGCTGAGGAGAAACACCACATTATAAGCAACCTAACAGAAATTTTATAGAAATATGATTGCGTAAAAACACTCGCACCAACATATCCTGGTGTTCCGCAGGCTGTGGACATCACGCCGTGATCGGCCATCTTGGACAGACCGAAGTCGCTGATCATGATCTTGGCGCTCTCGTCTGGACTGTAGTACAGCAGGTTCTCAGGCTACAGACGGATAAAATCATGGACGTTAATGACGTTTCGATAAAAACTCGAGCGTTAGGAGATCGTCTTCTCTCACCTTCAGGTCTCTGTGGACGATGCTGTTCTGATGCAGGTAGGAAACGGCCTCCAGGACCTGTTTGATCACACGGCTGGCGTCTTTCTCCGTGTAAACACCTCGATCCAGAATACGGTCGAAGAGCTCTCCGCCTGACACCCTTCGCACAAAAACACGTTAAAACAACGCTAAAAAGCTGTGTGGGATTGTGTTTGCGTGTATATTTCAGGCATTATTAAACACGTACAGCTCCATGACCAGGTAATAGTGTGTCCTCGTTTCGTAGAAATCTTCCAGTCCCACCACATTATCATGCTTTATCCTGAAAGACAGAGAGAGAGAGACTTAGAAGAATCCAGAATATGGTGTTTGGTGCTGGTTTGTTGTGTTTTGTCAGTTGTTTTAGGGGTTGTGGTCTGTGGTGTACATTGTGGAGTCAAAGGTGTTTGCGCTAATGGTCTGTAGTGTTTATGGTCTGTAGGGCGTATTTAAGGGCTATCATTAGGGCTGAGTAAAAAATATTGATTTCTCGATTTTAATCGGTTCTCATATTTACGAAACAATATTGATTCTTTAATCCCAAAAATCTATTAGTCTAGCCTGTTTTCAGTTAATGAACGAAACATTGTAGCGTGCATCCCATCCAATAAATTGCAATAGGCTTTGTGCTTTGTTACTTTTGATATGAAACAAAGTCTCAGATTTCAAATTCTTACCATTTTATTACAGTATTCAAACAATAAATGCCGTTTTGGCACTATTTAATTTGGAGTGACAGATCGTTGTAGCACCTCAGTTCAAGAGAAGCGGCAGCACGAAGCACGCGTGATCTTGATCATCTCCTTCGCTTTATTACAATTTACAGCACAAAATAAACATTAATGAACATGTGAACGTATGTTCAAAGAAAGAGTTCAACTTACCTAAATCCGTATCCTGTCTCATGTAATCGCTCAATCAGTGTTTTTAACCGTGGAAAGATGTCAGTATAACACCTTGCAAACAATGTCACGTAACGTCACATTTACCTCAGAAAAAAACATATTCTGTGACCATAAAACTCATTAGTCAGCTAGAGAAATTAACTCTAGAGAGGAGCATTTTGCTAAATATATGCACCATACAACATATTCATTATAATTTTTACTGTTCTTCAATGTTTAATTTATGTTTGAACCATTTAAATGTTTATATTTCAAAAAACTAATTGGTGTATGTAAATATAATTATGTAATTGTAACGTTATTATTATAAAAACTTCATTGAGTGTAATTTAAGTGCTTGTATACAAGTCAGTTAATTTTAACCTTCAATATTATAGTAATGTAGTACCAACTGACTCTTATGTATATTTTACAGCATTAGTTGAGATTGTTTTTTCCTTGAGAAAATTTGACATGTACTGTACCTGATATATATCTAGACTAATCGTTATTAAATTGAATCTAATCGAATCGGAAATCGAACCGAAAGCTTGTGAGTCAGAATCGAATCGAATCGCGAAATTTGTGTCAAAACCCAGCTCTAGCTATCATGTTTATGTTTGAGCTTTGTGATAATGAGAGATGGTGTTTATGTTTGTCTGTGATGTTTATGGTCTGTGTAGTGTTGGCGATATGGGTCTGTAGTGTTTATATTATTAGTCTGTGTTGTTTACGGCCAGATGTGTCTGTTAAAATAACCTGTGAAGCTTATTTTTGTGGACTTAGTGGACTGTGATATTAATGGTCTGCAGTGCATGTGACACTGGTCTGTGGTGTTTATGGTCTGTAGTGATAATGGTCTGTGATAATTATATTTGTGATATGAGTGTTTATATTAGCGGTCTGTGATGTCTGTGGTTTGAAGTGTTGGTGATATTGGTCTGTGGTGTTCATGGTCTGTAGTGATAATGGTCTGTGATAATTATATTTGTGATATGAGTGTTTATATTAGCGGTCTGTGATGTCTGTAGTTTGAAGTGTTGGTGATGTCTGTGGTCTGAAGTGTTGGTGATATTGGTCTGTGGTGTTCATGGTCTGTAGTGATAATGGTCTGTGATAATTATATTTGTGATATGAGTGTTTATATTAGCGGTCTGTGATGTTTGTGGTTTGAAGTGTTGGTAATATTGGTCTGTGGTGTTTATGGTCTGTAGTGATAATGGTCTGTGATAATTATATATTTGTGATATGAGTGTTTATATTAGCGGTCTGTGATGTCTGTGGTTTGAAGTGTTGGTGATATTGGTCTGTGGTTTTTATGTTCATGTTTTTGTCATGTTTATGATCTGTGAAAATGATCTGTGATGATTATGTTTGTGATCTGAGTGTTTATTTTGGTGGTCTGTGGTGTTGGTGGTTTTGGTCTGTAGTGTTTATATTGGGGTCTGTGATATTTGCGGTTTGTAGTGTCTGTGATGATTAGGTTTGTGATCTGAGTGTTTATTTTAGTGGTCTGTGTTTAGGTTAGTGGTCTGTGATGCTTATGGTCTGTGGTATTTATGTTAGTAGTCTGTAGTTTGTGATAATGATCTGTGATTATATTTGTGATTTGAGTGCGTTTTATGGCTCTGTGATGTTAATGGTCTGTAGTGTTGGTGATATTAGTCTGTGGGCTTTGTGTTAATGGTCTATAGTTTCTATGATAATGATCTGTGATGATTATATGTGTGATCTAGGAAGTGTTTATATTAGTGGGCTGTGATGTGTATGGTCTGTAGTGTCGGTGATAATGGTCTGTGGTGTTTGTGTCTTGCTTTTTCTCGCACCTCTTCAGCACTTTGATCTCGTTCTCAAGGTTGGAGTGATGCAGCTGTTTCTTCTTCACACACTTCAGGGCATAGAAGTTCCCCGTCTTTCTCTCTCGCACCAGGTAAACCTCAGAAAACGAGCCCCTGCAGAAACACAGTTAAAAGGAGATTATTTTAACCACATAAACAACAACACAATCTGTTCTGCAGTATGTGACGCTCTAAATGTCGGACTCCCAGTGAGCTTTAAGTTCACTGCATGGAGATCAGCACTAATCCGTCTGCACAAGGCCGTGCTGTGTGAGTCCAGACTTGAACCCACCTGGTCTATCTGGAGTCCACCTGTCCCATGAATAACCGTCCTAGGAGGAGGATTACTGTGCGTTATATAAGAAACCCAGTGCTGCCCCTCATGACTGATTACCCCACAATGCCTTTAATCCAGAATACCACTGCAACCGCCTAGCAACATGTTCTCACCATGCTTGGCACCTTCTCAAACCATCGATGTGTGAAAGCACACTCCAACAGCAAAGTTTATCACTTTAGTTACCATTTAATTGATGATTGGGTGATTAAGTGAAGACCTTGCCAACTCTCCAAACGTGCTGTAATTAACATGAATGTCTACAGAATCCAATTACGGCACTCAATTCATCCATAATTTACAGGAAGCAGTCTATAAACTTAACACAATTAGCAAAGATTCGTCAGATTTAGTTCTCTTTTGGAGGCAAATATGTCCCTGTAGTGTAGCTTGGTAAACCCACGTACATTCACCCCTCAGTAATCCTTTAATTGACTAGTGTCAGGATGTTCTCTGATGTCTGTGTCTCAATCATCCGCAGATGAAGACTGACAGGTGCCAAAATGGTCAACAAACCACTAAATCAACTTACAGATAATTCCAAACATTTCATGACTCATAATGTCTAATAATATCTCGTGAAGCTGTATAATGCCTCAATGATTCACCTCTTAATTCTTCTCTATTCCTCAGTATGCCTCGCAAAGCTTTGTAACACCTTACACTGCCTTCATAATACTCCAGATTATTTAGTAGCACCTCATAATACTTCTTATAACACTTCATACAACTTCATTAGAGCTTATGAGGCTTCATAAAGATTCATAACACTTTATAATGCTTCGTAGCGGTTTAGTATGTCTGATGAAGCTTCCTAACACCTTATAGTGCCTCATAAAGCTTCATAACACATCAAGATACTTCATAACCCTTCATAAAATATCATATGGGCTTATATTGTCTCTTAATTAAAGCTTCATAGCATAGCTTCATTGGACGACTTTATAACGATTAATAACATCTCATAATGCTTCATAACACTTTAATGGTTCAGAGCACCCTTCTAAACACCTTACAGTGTTGCATATTTCATAAAGCTTCATAAACTTAATAATGTGTCGTAAGATCTTATAGCTTTATAACAGTTTAAAACAGTTTGTAAAGGTTCATAAACCTTCACAGCACTGCCTCATAATTGTTCGTTATGCCTTACAAATCTTCCTAACACTTAAGCCTCATAACACTTTAAAATACTTCATATCCCTTCATAAAAATCCATTTTACTGCACAGTGCCTCTTAATGGTTCAGTAAAGCCTTACAAAGCGACCTAACTTCTTATAGCGCCCCATACTGCTTCATAACATCTCATAATGCTTCATAACCTTTATTAAAGTGTTGTAAGAGCTTACGGCACCTCTTAAAGCTTCATAACCCTTTGTAAAGTGTCATAAGAGCTTACTGTATATTACCTTAAAATTCATAGCATTTTGGAACACTTTATAATGCTTTATAACAACTCACAATGCTTCATAACACTGCATAACTCCTCATAATGCTTCATAACCTTTATTAAAGTGTTGTAAGAGCTTATAGCGCCTCTTAAAGCTTCATAACCCTTCGTAAAGTGTCATAAGAGCTTACTGTATATTACCTTAAAATTCATAGCATTTTGGAACACTTTATAATGCTTTATAACAACTCACAATGCTTCATAACACTGCATAATAATGGCTCATAATGCTTCATAAAACTGTACAATTCCTCATATAGGCTAATGGTTCATTCATGCCTTAACACATACAGCTCCATAAAGCTTCATAGCACCTCATAAAGTGACATAATAATGCTTTATAACAACTCACAATGCTTCATAACACTTCATAACTCCTCATAATGGCTCATAATGCTTCATAAAACTGTACAATTCCTCATATAGGCTAATGGTTCATTAATGCCTTAACACATACAGCTCCATAAAGCTTCATAGCACCTCATAAAGTGTCATAATAATGCTTTATAACAACTCACAATGCTTCATAACACTTCATAACTCCTCATAATGGCTCATAATGCTTCATAAAACTGTACAATTCCTCATATAGGCTAATGGTTCATTAATGCCTTAACACATACAGCTCCATAAAGCTTCATAGCACCTCATAAAGTGTCATAATAATGCTTTATAACAACTCACAATGCTTCATAACACTGCATAACTCCTCATAATGCTTCATAACCTTTATTAAAGTGTTGTAAGAGCTTATAGCGCCTCTTAAAGCTTCATAACCCTTCGTAAAGTGTCATAAGAGCTTACTGTATATTACCTTAAAATTCATAGCATTTTGGAACACTTTATAATGCTTTATAACAACTCACAATGCTTCATAACACTGCATAACTCCTCATAATGCTTCACAACCTTTATTAAAGTGTTGTAAAAGCTTATAGCGTCTCATAACCCTTCGTAAAGTATCATAAGAGCTTACTGTATATTACCTTAAAATTCATAGCATTTTGGAACACTTTATAATGCTTTATAACAACTCACAATGCTTCATAACACTGCATAACTCCTCATAATGCTTCACAACCTTTATTAAAGTGTTGTAAAAGCTTATAGCGTCTCATAACCCTTCGTAAAGTATCATAAGAGCTTACTGTATATTACCTTAAAATTCATAGCATTTTGGAACACTTTATAATGCTTTATAACAACTCACAATGCTTCATAACACTTCATAACTCCTCATAATGGCTCATAATGCTTCATAAAACTGTAAAATTCCTCATATAGGCTAATGGTTCATTAATGCCTTAACACATACAGCTCCATAAAGCTTCATAGCACCTCATAAAGTGACATAATAATGCTTTATAACAACTCACAATGCTTCATAACACTTCATAACTCCTCATAATGGCTCATAATGCTTCATAAAACTGTACAATTCCTCATATAGGCTAATGGTTCATTAATGCCTTAAAACATACAGCTGTATAAAGCTTCATAGCACCTCATAAAGTGTCATAATAATGCTTTATAACAACTCACAATGCTTCATAACACTTCATAACTCCTCATAATGCTTCATAACCTTTATTAAAGTGTTGTAAGAGCTTATAGCGCCTCTTAAAGCTTCATAACCAGCACCTCATCATTTAATAGTGCCTATTAAACATCTCATAATGCTTCATAAAGTTTTATACTGTAACACTTAACACTTCACCAGTACACTTTACAATACTTTATAATATATAATTACGCTTCATATCCCTTCATAAACTGTCGTAAGAGATAAAAGTCCTTCGTAACAGCTTCATAACATTTCGAAATGCTTTGTAATGCTTCATAACATTTCAGAACACTTTGTAAGGCTTTATAACAGCTCATAATGTTTGATGAAGCTTCATAACACTTCTCAATGCTGAATACCGCCGTATAATATTATGTATAGCTGCTAAACGGTTTATAATCCTTTATAACAACTCACCATGCTTCATAACACTGCATAACTCCTCATAATGCTTCACAACCTTTATTAAAGTGTTGTAAAAGCTTATAGCACCTCATAACCCTTCGTAAAGTGTCATAAGAGCTTACTGTATATTACCTTAAAATTCATAGCATTT